GTTATCAGTGGAAAGTGGCTGCAGAATGGTCAAAAAAGTTTGGCATTCACCTTGCACGAACCGGCAAAAATGAGTTCATTAATAGTGAGGCCATTAAAAAATACCTATGAACAAGGAAAAAAACATCCAGAAAAAAAAACACTCAGAGATTTGATGTCAATCACTACATTTTGAAGAGGGCAACTGTAAACGCACAGCTGGGTCAGGATATTGGAATAAAATAATGAGGGGGCTGATTAAATATACCTCTGATTACGTAGTTGTTCACAAATTTTTCAATGGTAACTATGGGATTATTTTAGAGGAGTTGTACATGTCCGATGAATGTACTGCACCTATCTGAACTTACCAGAATCAGCGCATTCTTGAGACAAGGAAAGGGACCTGCAGAATGTGAATGGGCTGACAAAAGAAACTGTTCATTATTTTTTGATAGGAAGCAGAAATCATGAGGTATGCAAGTAAATAAAAGATCTCCAATTCTAAAAAAACCTGTATGTACCCACCCCACACTAAATTGTCTGTGGTTCCGTGCAGCAATCGAACCATATGTTTCAAAGATAGATGAATACGAATAATTGTATGGCATTCCGTTTCATAAATGTAAATAGGAGTCATATTCCTACGAAACAAACGAGCCACCATATAAGCTGCAGGGCAATGCATGGCAAAGAAGTCTTCCTAGAGACCAACATACATCCAGAATGTCGATATGTTAATTACCTAAAAACCAACATGTGCTCTGCAAATTTACCATGAAAAGGATATGAGTCATATGACAACCATTATATATCCAGAATCTGGACATTGCCATGTTTCATATAGGTAACATAATGCTTAAATCCTGAAACAAGCAGGTACTGTACAGTGTACTATTAGGGATTTAACTGGACATATTGATACTCTTCTTCATAAACTTGGTTGGATTTGAGATAATTTAACTTAAGCCCATTTGTGGTTGGCTCTGGCTCCCCCTCCCTACGTCCTTCATCGAAGTGTGCTTTATGATAGTCATTTAACATGTCTCCTACCCTGGCATCAGCATCATAATCATCGATGCGTTGTCTCACGACCTCGTCTCTCACACGATAGGATTCACCATGGTAGATCCACTGGGTATAGTCTACCGTAAATCCATTCTTGCAAAGATGTTTACCTATGACCACCTTTGTTTGTCGACGAGTGTTTGCACAAATGCTGCAGGGACACCAAGTGCCATGCGCTCCTTTAACCCTTGCAAATGCTAGTTCCAAGAAAGCATCGGTCTTCTCAATCCATTCATCGGTGAACGAACCCTGACTAGAGCGGCCCGTGTACATCCACTCACGGTCATCTATCCTCTAACATATCAGCAAGTAATATAAAAATCAATTGCATCTACAGGTTTCTATACTGTCTAATAGGTGAAGATATGTCCTAATCTCACCCGAGGATGTGTAGATGGGGTTAGTTTCCATGCTCTACTCCTATCCGAGACAGAATTTCGGCAGCACCTCCCTGCTGTTCTCCAAATACACGTCCTGGCAGGGAGATTGTGTATCTGGAGAACAACTGGGAGATGCTGCTGAAACTCTGTCTCGGATCCGAGTAGAGCATGGAAACTAACTCCATCTACGCATCCTCGGGCTGTCCAAAAATTGTGAACAATTCAAAACAGATACGGTTATAGATATGCAAAGATCTGCATATTTCCAACCGTATCTCTTTCGAACGGGAGACACCTAGCCAGGTTACGTTATATACGAACATGATATGGAAAGAGGGGTGTAGGATGCCTCACCTTGCTGTCCTGTAAAGTGACGAGTCGAGGACGGTGGGGAATAATCCTTGCAATACCCTCTCCTGCAATAAATGAATATAATAGTGTCAATTATAAATTTTGGTAGCACCTCCCCTGCATGGTGAGGTAACCAAAACATGCAACAAACCAACGGCACGATAGCCGACAACCACATACACAACAAACCAACAGCACGATGGCCGACAACCACATACACATCTTATACCTTGCAAAACCACGGCAAATCAAAGGTGTGGGGCGGCGGGAGGGCAAGGTGGACGGCGACCGCAGGTCGGGGCAGGGAGCGGTGGCCGCGTAACCTATTAAAACATAAAACAAGCCATGTCACTTGTCTGCTGAAATTAAATCAATCTTGGAAGTGCATATCCTGTACATTAGACAAGTACAAACCCCAACCATTCTAACAATAGTCCTAGGAAGGACTTTATCTGGGAGAGTTAATTTCAGCCGTAGCAAGACAAGGCTGTAGCTAAAAGAACTAACAGTCAAGCATGAGGAAGAAAGCTGAGCAACAAAATATTCTGGCTTTGGGCATCAACAGTTTACAAAAAGCTGAGCAAGAAAGTATACATGCTAAACAGACGCCTGTTAACCAAAGCTCAGAATTAGGCAACACTTTCTTGCTCAATTTTTGTTTAGGAAAGGCATCAATTTTAACCCCATTTTTTCTAAACTATTTTGTTTAGCAACAATGAGTACACTACCAAAAATGGGAGAAAATGATTGGCTATCACTACCAAAAATGGGTAAGGGTAACATTACAGCATAAGAAATTGGTTTGTCTTATCAACTGCAGATTAGTACACTGAATCTGGAGATTAGAAGTTGCAATGTGAACAAGTTTAATTAATTGGAGTAAATTAGGAAGCCTAATTCTAAATTCTGTCCTAAGGCCTATTTATACCCTGAAAGCAATTCACGTTCTGTAAAAAGTAGTCAAATCCTTTTATCTTGGTTTACTGGCAAACAAACCATCAACAACAGGCTATTGGTTTCAACATTATATAATTTAACAGAAAATTGATATTAGAAATGGAATGGAAATTTGGGGGAAGGGAGGAGGGGGGGCTCACTGGACCGAGGAGGGCACCGGTGCGGGGGGCTACCAGCGAGGGGGCACCCAGCGAGGGGGACAACCCGTGGCGGCCACTGGGAGGCAGGGCGCCGGGTGACCGGGCTGCGTCGTCAAGTGAGGGGGCGTCAGCGCCCGGGGGGGAGGGGGCCAGCGCCAGGGATGGCGGGGGCAAGGGCAGCACGGGAAGGCAGGGGCCCGGTGGCGGAGGGTGGTGGCCCAGCGGCGGGGGGTGGCGGCCCGGCGGCGGAGGGCATTGCAGCGGAGCGGGGTGGGGGTGGCGGTCCGGCAGCGTGGAGGGCAGTCCGGCGGCGCGGCACGGTGTGTGTGTCTGTGTGTGTGTGCGCGCGCGCGGGGGGGTGAGTGTGTGAGTGTGTGAGTAAGTGTGCGGCCGGCTAGGGAAAAAATCATAGGGCTTTGCCGAGTGAACGCGATTTGGCACTCGGCAAAGTAAAGCGGCATTGTTTTTTTTCAATTTCCAACTAGTACGGTACTGGTAAGTGGGGCCGGCTTGGGTATGTTGCCGAGTGTCCACTATATGACACTCGACAACTATATTGTTTGCCGAGTGTCGTGCAGTTAACGGTCGGCAAAATAAATTGATATTTCATGCCCACCTATCCTCCTTCTTCATAACGTATTTTACTAAATTTGTTACGATGTAATTTGAAAATACCTTGTCAAATTCACTCAACAATGCATATTTGATTTTTCATCTAATATTATTTCATTATTTTATGCAGTTATAGCTCAAATTCAATTTATATCAATTAAAATTCTATAATTGCAGTTAATAAATTAAAATTATCAAACGGATCCAAAAATTTACCAAAATTTGAGTGAACCAATCTATGTTGTCTATTGCCTATACAAAAAGTTTTGAAGTCAAACCCTAATTCGACCGTCACTTTGACTCCAAATCTTACCGGATCCTTCTCAACGCTACGATTCTACTTCGGAGATGTTTCAGTTTGTAAGCGTCGTACGTGACAAATTGTGCGAAACCTTCTCAATTTTTACCACAGCCTCCACGTATGATATCATGAGATTTTGATAAATCTCGTGATTTTTAGACTTCGTTTGCTTTTTGTAGAATTTAAAAATCATTCGACCACACGTTCGTGGTCGTGTTTTCTGAACAAAATGTTCGAAATTTCTTTTCATTTCCCGGGTAAGGCCTCAAAATGGACTCAATAACATGAATATCATTTTCCACTCATTTTATTCCATTATTTGAATCACTTGCAGTTCAAATTTGACTTATACCAAAAAATTCCTCTAAATGCAATAAATTAATTAAATATACCAAACAGATCGAGAAATATATCAAATTCTAACATGTAGTACCACATGTTGTATGTGGAGAGTAGAAAAAATTTGGAGGACAGGAGAGGAAAAAAGTTTTGGCTTTGTCGAGTGCCTATAAAAAACACTCGACAAACTTATAATTTTGCCGAGTGCTGGAAAAAAAACACTCGGCAAAGTAGCACTTTTGCTAATGGCCGGCACGCAGTCAGACGGCCATTGCACATACCGGTCACGTGATAGTATTTTGCCAAGTGTCAATTCATTGCCGAGTGTCGTCTTGTTGTTTGCCGAGTGTCTGATATACTACACTCGGCAAATTAGGTTTTTTACCGAGTGCAATATGTATGCCGAGTGTCTTCTTCACTACACTCGGCAAATCAGCTCTTTGCCGAGTGCCCGATGGAATACACTCGGCAAACCAAAAAATGCTCGGCATATTTACTGTTTCCGGTAGTGATCTAAAGGACTGATGGCCCATTAGTGAACAAACTACTGTGCTATTTAAAGCTCACAAGGCCTGATGACCCATATATATGAGCCAAGACACGACTCTACAGGATGGTAGGCCAACTTGTCCAGGCGATGATCAGCAATTGGCAATTCCCCCTTAGTTCCTTACTCTATGTCACCCCTCCGCCACTACTGCTTCACTAGGTTCTCAATTTGAAGAGCCAAGCACGTATGAATTAACATTCTAATCCATGAAAACTAACTATGTTGTGATGTAATTCTTCTTCCCATTTTTTTTACATAAAAACAACCCAAACTTACATACACAGAGAATGAGAGATTATTGTGATTTTTGAGCTAGCTAGCTAGCTAGCAGGGAGGAGAATCAATGGCGAGGAAGGAAAGGGCCATGACGACGTCGGTCATGACAGGACGCAGGGCGTAGTGTTCCTGCAAGCACATGGATGCCACACCCACGGCCTGCTTCAGCTCTGATGCTGCAGGCCCTAGCATTGCCATCGCCAACCGAGGGTCCACCAGCTCAGGGAACCTCTTGGGGTCACCAAATATCCGTGCCGCCCATCCAACGAGGCTTTGCTCGCCATCCGGCCGGCTGGCGTCGATGGCTCGTCGGCCGGTGATGAGCTCCAGCAGAAGCACCCCAAAGCTATAGACGTCCGACTTGGCGCTGAGCTTTCCTGTCCGCAAGTACTCCGGCGCACAGTACCCATACGTGCCCATCACCTTGTTGCTGCTTGATGAGGAGGAGGACGACGATGAGGAGGATGAGTCAGTGCGCGGGGCGGGGAGGAGCTTGGCGAGGCCGAAGTCGGAGAGCTTGGGATTGTAGTCTTGGTCGAGGAGGATGTTGGAGGACTTGAGATCTCGGTAGATGACAGTGTTTTCATGCAGGTACTCTAGACCCCGCGCCGCGCCGAGCGCGATCGATCTTCATCCTCGTGCGCCAAGGCAAAGGGCCATGCTGCTGTTGGCTGTCATCGTTGTCATGATCGTCATCATCACGCAGCAGCAACAGGTGGTCCTCGAGGGATCCTAGTGCCATGTACTCATAGACGAGCAGGCGTTGGTCACCCTCGGCGCAGTAACCAATGAGGCTGACGAGGTTGGGGTGGTGCAGCATGCTGAGCATGAGCACCTCCACCATGAACTCATTGTTGCCCTGGAAGCCATTGCGGTCCAGCTGCTTGATGGCCACCGGAAGGTCGTCCTCACCAGCAATGAGCAGGCGGGCCTTGTAGACGCGACCGAATCCCCCCTCGCCGAGGAAGTTGGCTTGGCGAAAGTTTCCTGCGGCGTCAGCTAGCTCGCGGAACGAGAAGGCTTTGGCCGAGATGACACTGGTGTTTCTGCCACTGTCATTATTATAATGATTTGGTGGTGCTGGAGGAGGAGGCGACGATGGTAGACGACAATCATCATCTTCATCGTCGTCGTCGTCGTCGTCGTGTCGGCGGCCTGCTGTATCGACCACAGAGGAGGCACAACGGATGATCCGTGCGGTGAAGCTGTTGCTCTTGTTCCTCCAAGAGGTGGAGGAGGAGGTCCTCCGGCCTGTGGTGGTGCCATTGCCCTTCCTATGGATCACATCGTTAGGGAAGCGTCGGAGCCAACTTAGCATCTTGTTGCTGCTATATGCAATTCACCGGTCAATAGAAGGAAGGGACGGGTGATGGGTTCGTGCGTGGGAAATAAAGAATGGGAGAACAAAGGTGTGTGTGTGTGTGAGAGAGAGAGAGAGAGAGAGACCCTAGTGGATCGGAAGAGGTTTTTTCAGGGAGAATATGCACGGAGGATGTAGTTTGGTAGTTGCTAAATTTGGTCCATCTATTAATGGCTTATTGCCAGAGAAGTCATGCTTGCTTGTGCGTCGACATGGATGCCCGGCCATTGCCTGCAACAAACTAACTATATATATACTATGTAGATACCTTACTGGCCAACAAGAAGCAAGTGCTGAGTTTTGGGGATGTGCTATATTGGGTAGGGAGAGCAAGCTGACAAGCAGTTTGCATGGCATGTCTATCTAAGGCCATGACTGCTGATGTCTGTAACACGCTTTCATATCAATCTAGATAACACAATAGACCAGTCATTGTGTGACCTGTGAACAAATAATCTAAATAGCAACCATTGGTTGATGACATGTGGCCATAATACTAAATGACATTTGTATTGTGAAAAAATGCGGTCTATATATAAGAGTTTTCTCACATGCATGTTTCATATTCTTCCGTGCAGGTCATATAAAGTCATTCGTAGCACCTTTTGTAGACAGTTGACGTCACCCCCACGATACACGCACTAAGGGCATCGCCAGTGGCAAGTCCACCCGTCGTAGATATAGGCCCCGTTCAGCTTATCCCATATTCGGTTTGTTCCGCTTGTTTTTTCAGCCGAAACGGTGTTTTTCAGTCACAGCAATTTAACCAGAACAATGTTTTTCAGCCAGTTTCAGCCAAGATTCAGCAAGCCGAACAGGGCCTAAAAAGGTTTCACGTGTGTGTATGAATCGCTTTTCTCAAACTGATTCATCATTGTTCTAGTGGTTCCAGGCAGGTGACCTCTTTTACAAAGCAGCAAACCAATTTTTGATAGTTGATTGCGGCCGCGATGAGTCGATGCAAAATATAGTCTACTCCTCTCTCTCATCCATGAATTGAGCTTCTCCAACAATTGAGCCGACTCAAGCCAGTGCCATGTGAGACGATGAGTCGCTTTCGTTCCCTCACCGGAGAAACCCAAGAAGTACTCCCTCCCTCCATAAATGATAATCGTATTTGTCCAGAGCAAAAGTCAAACTTAATTTATAAATTTCGACCTACAATTAGTCAAATTATATGAAAGTGCAGTGCATAACACATACTCTCTACTGTAGCAGCACGTATGTACTCATAATCAACAAGTATGCATCCATACTAGCTGTTTTCACTTGGATGTATATACGGCAGTAAAAAAACTAGTATATAAAGTATGCATCCATACTAGCTGTTTTCACATGGATGCATATACGGCAGTCAAAAGACTAGTATATACGACAGGAAAAAATATACATGTTTTCGAACAAGCAAACAAATCGGCATCAGCCACAAATCATGGAGATATATAACGGCAGCTGACGTCAACATGCACATGCAAACGAGCTGCAAATCAGGCTATCGGTGGAGCTCATATGCTCTTAACGGGTTTGTTTGTGCACACAAATCCAATTAGATAGATGCGAGTAACTACTCCCAGGAGTGTGCATGTATTATCTAAATTCACAGCTTACAATTAGTAGATTTACTGTTTGATATATATGCCGTTTCAGGTTTCAATCCTTTTAAAGATACTCTGCTATAGTATAAGCAATTGTATGTGGAGAGCACATATGCACCTTCTATTGACAAGCACGAGAATCGGCGGTGAGTGGTGACCTTGCAGCACAGTGGTGGTTGACTGGTTGTGGAATGAAGGAAAGACATAGATATAGCATCGATGCCACTACAAATCTAATACATGTTTGATAAGATTTTTAAACCCTAAAAAATATCTCTAAGCTTCTAAATATTCCAAAATAAATCCTAGAGATATAGACTGCTCCACGGTAAATCTAAATAAAATATTTAGAGCTCGTGAAAATATCTCTACAAACTTCTAAAAATACATGCAGCTCTAGGGAATGGAAAATGTCCAAAAAATCTAGAAAACTTCCTAAACATTCTAATCGTTGTATAAACACGTTTTGAAAACTTTTCACCAAAAACGCACCTACACTACTGGAAACAGAGACTTTGCCGAGTGTAAATTTCTTTGTCGAGTGTCAAAAATCGGACACTCGGCAAAGATCTTCTTTGCCGAAAGTGCTGCACTCGCAAAGAATTACACTCGGCAAAGATTTCTTTGCCGAAAGCGCCGCACTCGGCAAACACAGCACACTCGGCAAAGGACTTCTTTGCCGAGCGCCAAACTCGGCAAAATCTATACACTCGGCATAGGCTGCCCGTGAAACGCGGCGCCTTCTTGCCGCCGATCACTTCTTTTTTTTCACGCTGCGATTAGGCACTCGGCAAAGATTTTTTTTTAATTTTTTTTGCAGAGTGCCCCGGATCTGGCAAGCGGCAAAGATTTTTTTTTTTTTAAATTCTTTTAGGCGTCTCGGATCTGGCGCTTCTGCATGCAAAGAAAAAAATTTTTTTTTTAAAAATTACTTTGCGAGTGCTCCTGGCCGCACTTTCTAAGGCAAAAGATTTAAAATTTTTTAATTGTTCTTTGCTTGAGGTGCTCAAACTTTTGTATGCACTCGGCAAAAGAAAAAAATTAAAAAAAATTAAAACATTCTTCTTAGAGTGCATGTGATATCTCCACATATCGATATCACATGTGAGATGTCCTGCTTGTAAGCATCGACGTGACAACGCAGCACGAAATCTTTCTGAAATTTTTATCATAGCCTCCACATATGATATCACGACATCTCAACAAGTTTCATGATTTTTGGACTTCGCTTGCATTTTGTAGAATTTATAAACACTTCACACGCAATTTCATGGACATGTTTCGTGAACGAGATATCCAAATTTCGGTCTGCTTCTCGGATACGGCCTCTCATAACACACACACTAACATGACTATCAATTTTCAATCATTAAACTCCATTATTCGTATTCACGTGCAGCTCAAATTTCTAATTTCCGTAAAAATTCAAGTAAACGAAATAAAGTAACTAAATATAACAAAAGCCACAAAAAATCTTCAAATTGTAACTAGGAGTTCCCGGTGCTTTAAAAAAGGTTGCACAAAAAAATTGAGGCCAAAAACAAAAAAAAAAAAATCTCTTTGCCGAAAGTCGGGCATGGCACTGTAAGAGTGAGTCTTTTTTGCCGAGTGCCACCTCGTGCACTCTAAGAAGAATGTTTTAATTTTTTTTAATTTTTTCTTTGCCGAAAGTGCATACAGAGCACTCCTCGCAAAAGAAATAATTAAAAAAAATTTAATCTTTGCCGAAAAGCCGCCAGGAGCACTCCGCAAAGTATTTTTAAAATAAAAATTTTCTTGCCGAGCGCCAGATCCGAGACGCCGCAAAGAATTTTAAAAATAGGGAATCTTTGCCGAAAGCGATCCGGGGCACTCTTGCAAAGAAATTAAAACAAAAAAATCTCTTGCCGAGTGCCTCCCAGCCGCCCAAGACTTAAGCAAAGCCACGGACACCTTTTTTTTGACTCGCACGGGGCACATCGCCAGTAAAACCATTTAACGCCCACTACATACCACACGCACACCACCCAGCCATGCCCACATTGCCTTGCATACCCGCCACATACCACACACACGCCACACATACCACACACACACACACACACCACACACACCACACACACACCACACCACACACACATGCCCACCCCATTACCCGCGCATACATACCACTGCCAGCACCATACCACACATTCCCCGCGCACGCCGCATGCCACTCACACCCACACCACCATACCCTTGCGCTCATCGCCGCCGCGTGCCCTCTTCCCGCACCACACACCAGCCCTTACACACTGCCCGTGCCACTCGGCACCCTCGGCCACGCTGCCACCCGCATGGCACACCGCCTTCATGCCCGTTCTTCCCCCTTCCTTCCACATGACCCGACTTTAGAGTCCCGCGCCCGCCTACTTTTTTCCTGCCTTGCCTCGCCTCTGCACACCCTGGACCACCACCTGACGCCATCCATGCTCGACCCCATCCCCGACTCACCTGATCCCGATGACGCCCTACCCCTACCCTGTCGCCTGGCGGTATGCCTTCTCACTTATTATTGTGGAGGTAGTGGTAGTTGTAGTAGTATTAGTTGTACTAGTGGCGTGATTAGTACAACTAGTGGTAGTATTAGTAGTAGAATTAGTGGTAGTAGTAGTAGTAGAAGTAGTGGTAGTAGTAGTACAAGTAGAGGTACTACTTGGATATATTCTTCTACATGGATTGATATCCAAACTACATGGCTTCATTGAGCCATATGTGCTTGTCGGTCATCGTGCCGTTGTTTTTTTGCAGTTTTGGAAACCTCACCGTGCGGGGAGGTTCTCACGATTTTTTTGTAAATAATGATATTTTGTTCCATTTTGTAGAGAAGAGCCCGCCGAGTTGAGTCGGAGTTCTCGCCACCGTGTCGGTCGGTCTCGCTCACACTGCGCGGCTCGTCTCGCCATCGCACCCGACCCGCCACGGCCCCGCTTAGCCTGACTCCATCGCCACCCTAGGTATAACCCCTCTTTTATATCATTGTCGAGATCACAGAATTCAGCTTAGGCGTCTCCTGCTCGAAAGAGATACGGTTGGAGGTATGCGATCTTTGCATATCTATGACCGTATCTATTTCGGATTGTCCACGCTTTTGGATAGCCATGGATGCGTAGATGGGTTAGTTTCATGTGTTCTGCTTAGTCCGAGATACTTTTCGGCATCACCTCCTGTTGTTCTCCTGATACACACTCTTCTTTGGTAGGACGTGTATCCGGAGAACAAATGGGAGGAGGTGCCGCCAAATTTGCCCTCGGATAGGAGTAGAGCATGGAAACTAACCTCATCTACACATCTCATGGGTGGGATTAGGACCTATCCTCACCTATTAGACAAGAGGAACACCAT